GTGAGTCGGGCGCCAACTGGGGAATGTCGCTTGTATGCAGGTATACAATTAAAAAAATCGTGCTCACTCAAATCAACACAACTGTCAATACGGTGTGCACGCTAAGGATCCACATCTCCCACACTCGCACGCGATCCGAGAAGGAGAAAGGTAAGAAGAAAATGGGCCACTAGATGTGAATACAACATTTTGTGAATGATGCTACATATATGCATGCAAACACCCACATCAACCAGCGTGTCAACTCAAGGCTGGCTGACCCGCGACCAGATCCTGCAGTTGCACAACCAAAACTCTAGCTTAGTTGACAGCATTATTCAGGCAAAGAGGAACGAGGGACTATTCCGGGAGCATCCGGATCTACCCAATGACGCCGCAATGACCCTGTATTGGGTGTCATAGCTGCTTTTTGTTTGCTCCATGAGTTGTTGCAAACATTCTTGTCCATATGCAACTTTTTTCGAAACCAATCTTTCAAGCACCTGTGCCTCCTAACTGACGAAGGTATTGGTGGACCTGTCCCATACACACCAAGATGAGTTTGAGGATCGGTTGCAAGTCCGTATGGACGTAAGTCTTCACCCAGATTCCGAGGCTTGTTTCTGTTTGGCGCTGTGATGTCTACAACATGCGACATGCAATTTTAAAGGCTTGCAATGGGATGTGTTGTGTTGGAAGGCCGCACAGCGTCTGGTGCCGCATGCTGCTGAGAAACTGGGGGACGCAGTTGCGAACCAACCACGTGTGAACATTGGGGCAGACCCACCTGCACTTCCGCCACCAGCAGAGAAACCAGATAAACCAAAGAGAAAGAATCTCAGCTCGAACATGCGGTTGTGTTTCATATTATATAGAATTGTATCCATCGCTTAACTTTTGTACTTTTGAAAAGCTAAATCCACATATAATGGGCGCTCTCTTGGCATCAGGCCCAAGACAATGCCGATCGATGCGTGGGGTGCTTGTGACTGGATGCTGGGCAAGCTTCTCCAAGATGTGGCCAATGCCAAAATGTTGGCTTTAAAGATCAACCATTTGAAACACCAGGATCAGTTGCGTGATTTGTCTTAATTGATCTAAGCTGGACGCTTGTTGCTAGAAACACAAGTTGTGTTCATCCATCATTGTTTCGACTAGGTGAGATTCTGGTAAATCATGCTGGGGAGTTGGAGCAAAGCTACAACCAAGTGAAGACGTTGTCAAGTGAGGCCAGCCCACCCTTTTTGGAACTCAATGTTGCATGTCTCTAGTCATGCATATATTTAACCATTCACGTTGCACACTCGGACAGGAATCGAAAAAAACTGAAGACGATGCCAAATTGGCTGCAGTGTGTGCAGCAATCAGATTGGCAGAGCAGCGGAGGGTCTACTTTGAGGAGGACCGCAAAAATGCAATGGCGCTTTGCAAGGGCGGCAAAAAGAAGAAGAATGAGCAGCAGCAGGCTCACCACCTATGGGTATGCGAAACATTGTTCAATTATATGGCTGAATGCACTTCTTAATTGCACACGTGTATTTACTCATGTTGTGCATGTCAAACATCCCTCCCCTTTCAGGCCGAGGGCGAGCCTGCTGAAGATGAGGGGCTCGACGGCGAACCGCTGTAAGTCCTGCACACGAGTGCGAGCAGGGCATTTGGGGATTGCACAAGGGAGCCTGGATGTTCACATGTCTAACATGCTCTTTTGACCACTCATGCTGTGATGGCCGCGTGGCCCCTTTGTGCGAACATCTTTTTGGGGTTGTGCCATGCATGCCAACTTGCTAGGCATGGCTGTTTGTTCCATAAATGATGAGTTCGGCTAGCGGAAAATGCTCTCTTGCCAGCGTGGCTGTTTTTTTCAACATGCAATATGATGTTGCCAAAGTCCCACTGCAAATGTATGGTACACTAGTTCAGGGTAGATGGTGCAATCACCTCAAAGGCTATTTACATGGTAGGTGGTGCAATCACCTCAAAGGCTATTTACATGGAGCTATAATTACGTAACATAAAGCGAGCCTGAAGTTTGTGTCATCTACTCTGCAATGAAACCATATGACCTCATGACATCCACTGGGGTTTTTGGGAGGGGCCTGACCAATATGCTTGGCACAGGCATTCAAAAAGAACGTCATCGAGCAAGGACCCTAGAGGCTGGATGCAAATCGGATGTACGTATATAGAGCGAGGTTGATTGAATTGCATGGAGTATATATATGACCATGTTGAACTATAGCATGCACTATGTTGTACGACGCACCCACGGGCCCTTTACCACTGTCGGTCGGTCCTCCGGCAAGGCGCAACCGCCACCACGGCCATCCAAGTGTCCTCGGCTGGCCCAACAGGACCGCATGCAATGTGAATCATGCGTACATATGTAACATGCAATTCGCAAGTGCAATACAGAAGTGTCTTGCGTGACTGACCTTTTGGCAACAACATCCACCAACAAAACCCTGGAGATCCATCCTTTCTTCCCAACAGGACACGAGTTTGAGATCTACCACCAGACCTTCGAGTGCAACAACATTGCCACCTGCGAAGGATGACATGTCTGACCTGATTTTGCAGGACTTTGCTTCTGGCAAGATCAGTGCCACCAAAGCGGCCAAGCTTTTAATTGCACTTTTTGCTTTCTAACCGAAAAACCGGCCAATTATGATTTGACACACACGCATGTTACTTTGATGGGTGGGGGTGAGGAAACATAGGAGTTATATAGTTTGTGGCATCAAACGCTCATGGTATACACGAAGTTTTTGAACAAACCAGGCACGAGAGCTATCTGACACTTGCATCAGGACTTGCAGGCAATTTGGAGGTGTCATTCCCACCGAGCATCTTTTGAGGAAGATTGCAAGTGTTGGCAATCATGGACAACATCAACAGAATTGCGAACGTGACTTGCAACGGTTGATTTTACGACGGCACAAAGTGTTTGAGAATATGCAAATCGACACATGCAAGGTGCCTTTGTTTAACCCCAAGACCGAACTTGAATTTGAGAGAGCCTTGGATGTGTTGTATCCTGATGTCTTGGCAGAAGCTATCTTCAATCACAGTGAAGACCTGTTCTGCAAATTGTTTTTTGCTGGGACAGATGCGGCTCAATATTGGCAGCACTGTGAACAGTATGCACCGTGGTGGAGAGAACACCCTGCCAGCAAGGTAGAACCACCAAAAAGGGGAAAGCTCATTCCACTCTCTTTGTATGGAGATGAAGTGCAAAGTTTCCGGAACACGGAAGGTGGTGTGGTCTCGGTGCTTGCCTGGTCTTCGGACCTGTCAGCTGGTCAGCCTCCTTTGAGCCGCTACTTTCCAATCTCATGTATTCCAGACCACTACTGTGTTGATCGCACATACATAGAGTTGTTCAAGAATGTTGCAAAGCGCTTGCAAGTTATGTGCGACCCTGAACAGCATGAACACTTTGCTTGGTCAGCCAAGGGCTACCAGTTTGTGTATTCATCGACGCAAGGGGACTTGAAATGGGTTTGTGAGAAGTTCAGCCTGCACAATTACAGGAAGAATGGTTTCTGCTCAAGATGCGCGTGCTGCAAAAACCATGAGGATTTGGGGATGACTCTGGGGTGCTTTGACATCAATTCTACACACCGAACAACAAGAATTAACCACGAAGGATTTTTTGCGGGGATTGTGCCTGGAGATTTCCATCCAGTATTTTCCATTCCAGGGGCTCGCCTGGAACGCGTGCTGCATGATGTTTGCCACTCGCAACTTTTGGGTACTGGCAAGGCCCTGAATGGGTCAGTGCTTACATTCATGGTAGAAGCGGGGCGGTTTGGAGCATGGCAGGGTGGCGTGTACCAAACAGTTGTCAATTCTCTTTTGCAGCGTGCCTACAAGGACTTCAACCATTGGAAGAAAGAGAAAAAGCTAAATGTCACACAGCCACGGTTCACAGCCTCTCGACTGTCACGGCCTGGACGCACTTCTTACCCTTCCCTGAATTCCAAGGCGGCTGCGGGCAAAGCCATCTCGTTTTGGATGTGTGACAGGATGTGCGAATGGGCAAAACGGGAGGAATCAACAGAATTGGACAAACAGGTGGCTCACTGTATATGGTCTTATTGTGAAGTGTTGCGCATTATGGACGAAGCGGGACCTCTTTTGACAAGAGAGCAGGGAGATGAACTTTTCACCAAAGGCATGCAACATTTGAAGCTGTATTCTCATCTAAACGCAGTGAGCTCAACCTGCAGAGGGGCACACTCGCTAAACAGAGCCCTATGGATGTTGCTCCCAAAGCACCATCACTTTGAACATATGTTGGATGATGCCTCTGAAACTCTCATCAACCCGAACTTCTATACCCTTCTTTGCGCTGAGAGCTTCATTGGGCAAATGGGTCGGGTGGCCAGGACATGCCACAGAAGCTCTTTGACTCTACGAGTGTTACAAAAGTACAAGTTGCTGTTGGCGCTACACTGTGCTCGGATGCATAGTGACTAACACTGTGCGGCCAAATCTCAGTCTCAAGACTCCGGACCAGGCTGCGCGAGCCCCACCGAGGAAATGGCAACGGGATGCAGTGGGCAGGGAGGAGCAAGGGTCAATCCATGTGAGATGTGTAATCTTGATTTTGTGTTCCTGTCATTACAAAGTCTCTACTCTGGACCCCTATAGGCCAAATGAAAGTCCATCCAACAAAGGTTCTCTTACATGGTCCCTTCAGTGGAAACCTGCAAATATTGACATGTTGATTATCGTGGGTCCTCATGGGCCCTCATGGGTGTTTATGGGTCCTCGTGGGGCCTCATGACCCCTCTTCAATCCAGTTGGCACGCCCCCATTCCTGGGGACAACCCGTGCTCCATCGGGAGCGTTAGGGTATAGTCCTATACCAGGACCCCCAGTCGGGGTGGTTCATGGACACTCCTTAACAGCTAAGGGGCTATAAATAGACCCCTTGGAGGGTCCTATACTGTTTACGTCAAAACCCTCCCACATCCGCCCGCCCAAAAGCGCTTCGCCGCGCAGATTGGGCACTCCTCCGTGTGGAGCGTCCGGAAACTGTCGGTCTGCTCTTCCAGCGCGATCACCGTAGCAGCGATGCCAGTGAGGAGCAACAAGCTGTTCACTACCTGAAGGAAAAAAAGGTGGTTGAAAAGAATGTGCCATGTAAACCGTTGGCTTGGCAAAAGCAAAATGCGCTGATCGTGAAAAGCTATTTGTTTTGAGGGGTGGGCAACAACCATTATATCACTTCTTGGTAAGGATAATTGAAAGACCATATTGTCTTTCGTGGGGTGAACAAGTGAAGCCGGTCCTCAGGAGGTTGCGCTGCAAGGTTTAAGACAAACTTTCGATGTAAACTTTGAACCTTTGATGCGATTTGGTCGACTTGAAACATCATGAAACATGTCCCAAACACTCCATGTATGCCTACATTGAACCCCCAAAACCACCCCATTGTAGGCATATATGGCATACATGGAGTGTCTGGGTGTTGACTTTAGTTAGTTTAGTTAAGTCGACTCGAAACATGATGAACCGTGTCTGGTTTTCAAAGTTTTCAGACATATTGGACCAACATTGACATATTGGACTTTAGTTTTCATCTGGTGATCAGGGGGGGTGCTGCCGTTTGTCTCATCGTCTACACCTCTGTTTTACACATTGGCAAGTGGTCGAAGCATCATTGACCATCGAAACCGGTGTCAAATGGTTTCAGGCTCTTCTATGCTAACTGCATCTAACTGCTCTGGCAGAAAATGGATGAAAATGGTCGGACCTTCATTGAACCCACCAAGTCTTTGTAAGGAATGCTTTCACGCGGGGATGCTGCAGTGGGGCTCACATTGCCGACCAAAAAAGAATTCTATCTAATTCTCACCACCAGGGCCTTCAAGGGGTGGTTAATGGACACCCCTTAACGGCTAAGGTGCTATAAATAGACACCCCTTGGAGGGTCCTGATCCAATTCTCGCCATATATGAACCACTCTTCAGGGCTGCAAGCAAATCGCTGGGGACGACTTTCAGGTGTTGGACAAGTCAGGAGATTCACTGTGCAGAACTCAATCTTCGAGGTGTGCATGCCTGCTTTGGGCTTCAAGTACCTTCTCAGAATGTACTTAGACCCTCCAGGCTACAAACCCACCCCGAAGACCATCGAAGCGTGGAGGCCTAAGAATGATTAACTTATGCCCATGTATGAGTCTTGTAAACCCCATGCTCTCTCTGGCCGAGCTGCTCGAATGAACCATTTTTGAAAACATGGCCTCGGTCGCGTGTTTCCGCACGAAAGTCATGTGGGACACATCTTGGCAGGTCATTCGAGGTGCTCAAAGAGTGCTCCTGGGAGCAAGATTCTGCGAACTTTCACAACAGCAGCCGTGGTGCTCCGTTTGCGCGCGACGCGAAAAAACAAGCGGTCTGGACACCACTTGAGGTGGCCAGCTGGGTGACACGGAAGTCTTCAAAACCAAATCCAAAAGGTTTGTACAAAATGCTTGAGTCCATGGTTCCACCATGGGTACAGAACCGGAAGGTCCGGGCCCCATCACATAGGACCCGAAGCTACCAGTTCTTAAAACTCGAACAGGCTGTCAGGGCTGTGCCTGGCTTCATGGATGGGCATGGGGATATGGATGGATCCCCCCTCCCTCCTCCAGCCCTCCGACATCCTCTATATAGACTATACATAGTGACGCTGGTGTGGAAGCTCTCAGTCTCGCTACCGAGAACTACCAAACACCGCTGCTCTCCGGAATGCCGCGGACTGGGTCGGGACGGCTTCTGCGGACTGGACGGAAGCCTCGCCTGGGATGGTTCGAGCCGTCTGCGGGTCCCCCCGTCCTTCGACGAGGGAAGTGCAGTCTGACGGAATTGCGGTTCCCCTGAGGATTCCAATATATTCAATTTTGGTCTTGATAAAGAGTTGCTATCTTCTTAGGTGGAAGAACCCTCTTCCCCCTCGCACCTGTGACAAAAGAATAAAGAACACCACACACTCACTCGCGAACGGTCTGACGGTTCGCCTCTCTAAGCCCTTCCACATAGGGTGCTAGAAGGTAGACAAGTATCCACAGAACGAAAATAACACGACATACGAAAGTCTACCTATGTACACCACACAGAAGACAGAGATCACTCATCGTGAATTATGAATATGAATTAGCGGGGCCTCTCAGTCGTCGATGAATACGGTCTCAAGAGATTGCCCTTTCCGAATGCATTTTTTTAGCCTTTGGTATGGACCACTCCGTTGTTTGAAAGGAATTTCATTGTAAGGAGCCTCAACAAGAGTATCGTGAGAAACTAATGGCATCTGCAGGCGAACGTGATGTGGATAGCCTTGAGCTGGTAAGGAAGCATAGTCGCGGAGAAGCTGCATCAATTTCTCTGCATTAGGCATTAGGCATTACTGGTCTCGATGCAATTTCTCCAACCGAACTTTTGTGAAAACCAAGGCGGACAAGAGATGATGCCCCTTTTTTTAATACGTTGGAACCATAGGTTCCGACAAAGTATTATCCAAATATCGAACAACAGCCCGCAGAGTATTCGCCTGGTTCCAAAGGCTTTTTGCCGCTTCTGTTTGAATATTAACCTCTACAGAGAGTCAAATGCATATGGTGTAGGTAATCTTTCTTGACTATAGATCCACACTGGCGCCATACCATGCCAGTACTACCAGCATCAAAGTAACGGCAAGCTCATACCACGATGCCCACCCACCCACCCCAATCACCTGGCCGTTTGGCCGCGACCGTTCCTCTGAACGACAGACCCGTTCAGACCCGGATCGGTCGATCGACTCATCACCGGTCGATCGTCTGCTTTTCCCTTTGCAAACGACGCGAGACGCCAACGGTAAGCGGTGGGGCTGTTTGGTGAACCGCCAGTGGTGAACCGCCACCTGGCGGTTTACGAGCAAAAAAGCCTTTTTGACGTCTTTTTTGTTCCGTTCAGGTGAGGGCTGAGCCTTTGGGTGACAAAGGTCATTCTTTTTCGAAGAGGTGACCGGTACTCTCCACCTTCACCACGCTGCTTCGCCGAGTGGCAAGTGCAGCCAAACCTTGGCCCCCTGGTTCCGGTGCACCGTGGCCTCGTCGACCAGGAGCCATCCATTGAGACCCGGCAACTGCACAGTCATCGGGTTCCTGGGAGGTGTCCGGGTGTACGGTAGCCGAATGGGCGAAGAAGGAATGACACCTGGAAACCAACAAAAATAGACTACGGACCCAGCAGGGAGCCGGATCCTTTGGGTCAAAGAAACATCGATCTTGATGTGTCACAATCAGATTGAGGGTTAATCCATGGGTGTCAGGAGCGTTTGACTCCTGTGATAAGTTATATGATGTTATATGAATGTCTAACCCCCGTTCAATCAAAGGTCTCGTGTCCGGCTGAAGTGTACCGCGTCCTCTTACCGTATCCACGTCCTCTTGTACCGTGACCCTTCATAGTCAGCTTTTTCAGTTGCTTGTAGTTTGGTGACTCTCAGCTGCCTGTTTTTGGACAGACACCTGGAACACTCCACATTTGTTTTCTTGGCGCCCTTCAGACTTTGAAGTCGTTCCGTCTCAGCCACCTGCTTATTTGTATCACTCACTTTAAACTTTAAACCACAGCAAAATCCGTGAAAAGGCCAACCTGTCCACAAAGCCTCCAACTCTTTCAACAGTTGCTTGTAGGTGTATGTTCACTATGTATATATCAGATGCATATCAAACACCGCAAGAAAATGGCTCTCAACAGGAAACAAAAGGAAAAAGGGTAAAACAACGGACCACTGCTTCCATCGTGGTTCCCTCTCGGTTTCACCTTGTTTCAACGCTCCCTAGAGATCCAAGTACCTTCTCAGGTACGGTGATTGGAGACACTGTTATGTAGGGTTGGAGGGTCCAGTCGTACCTTCTGAGAAGGTACTTGGATCCCTAGGGGGCTGAAGTGAAACAGCTTTTGGATCCACCCAGCTTCATCGTTTTGCTCTGCACCTTCTCGTCTCGCAAGGACTTCTCCACAAAGCGCGACACCCGCGAGCGGACCTTCTCCCAGTCCATGGGCTGAACCAGCTTGCGCAAGCTCGGCATGCCCGAGTGCAACCTCGGATTCATGGGCGGTTGCGAAGGGGGGTCTGCGGATGCAGCGGAGAACCTGAACCGCCAAATGAAAGGGGTCCAGTCGAACCGGAGAAAATGGCTGCGGCTTCATGGGGTAATTGAAGGAATGCAACGACCAATCGTTCACAGGAAAGCATCTGGCTCTCATACGACCGGCGGCCATTGACCCTGCTGAACCCATCTTTGGTCCAAAGAGCCTCTTGGTTGGATTTCCCCCCAAAAACACACATTTCAAATGTCCAATGCTTTTATTACCATCTATACCACTACCACTTACATCCACTTGTTGTATGATGAGCAATTGTCTTCACAACATTCAGCCTCCGAAAGTAATGGCCAGTTTGATCAACGATCCACGCGTTATGGGTGACACTAGTCACATCTCACTGTAGAACTGTCAGGCCACGCAGTGGGCAGGTCCAGCTCTTCATGGCGCTTGAAGTTCACCTCCACCTGCTCCACATCCTGAAGCTCTGTGTCTGCATCCACGAGCAAAAACATCTCCTGCACAGCTTGACGCATATTTTTAGGGGGAAGCTGGAAAAACAGATCAGACTCGAAACTCTTGGCTCAAATTCCAAGTCACGTTTACTTTTTCAACTTGACTCGGATCAATCACCAAAAATGAAAACTGAAACAACTCTCTCTCTCTCTCTCTACGTAATGTTGCGTATGTAACTGTATATAGACTAGTCTAGTCTAGTTCATAAAGTTATGAGGAAAAACACCAAAGCTCAGTCAACCGCCACTTTCACTTTGGGCCGAGAGTTCCGATAGCATTTAGTTGATCCGGCGATTCCGACTGCCTAGATGGAAATTGAAACATGTCCAAATTGAGAAGCGACCAAGCTTTCAAACCTCAAACGGTGAATAAGTGTTCATCGAGGGCGCATCTACATGGACGACAGTTTGCACAAAGCATCCCTACATGTAGAGAGTGAGACTCTCCTAAGACATCCTCAAACACGAGAATGTGAAGAGAATCTCACCGCCATGTCGCTTATGGCATGACATCACTGTTGGCAAAGTTATACAGATATGCTGTTCCTCCTGGTGTTGTCTAGCATCTGATCATATCTGATCCCTCGGCAGTGCATCAAAACCGGGGAACCATGGGGAAACCACCTCACTGCTGTCGCTATTTGTAACTCTTGCGGTTGAACCCTAGGAGGGCTCCACATACCGAAAATGAGACAAGACCCTCCTGGCACCCCAAACACCATCTTAGTCAACCACACAAATGTAGACATATACCAGGACCCTCCAAGGGGTGTCCAATGGACTACCCCACACTACCTATAGGCTTCCATTGGGCACCCCTTGGAGGGTCCTGGTATAGATATAGATAGATGAGTAGATAGATGCCATCCATGGAGTGTCTGGGTAGGTGCCTGTCTGCAACGACACCCTGTCTGCCCTCTCCTGCAGCGCCACATCCCCCACATGAACTGCTGAGCTTCGGCCTGTGCTTCCAGACCACACCGAGCTCACATCCCAAGGTCGCCCACGTCCGTGCCACATGCCCGGCATGGCACCCGCAGGGAGGAGCGCGGCGGGCACGGCGCCGTCCTGGGCCGCCTTGGGGGGGCCGGGGCTCTGGATCCTCCTTGAAGGCGATGAGGTGCGAGGCTTCCTCCACACCGAAGAGCCCTGGCAGGGTCGATCCGTTCTGACTCTCTGAGTCAGATCATTCTGAGAAGGACGAGGAGGTGAGGATGGACGAGGAGGTGAGGATGGACGATGTCTAGTCTAGGAGTCATGAAATCTAACTTTGGAACATGTTAACCATCACACCCACCCCACCTGGAACCGGCACATGGTAAAGATCAGCAGCAACTCTGATGCCTTCAGATCCCAGCAAAGACACGCGCAAGCACACTGGTGGTGACTGCAAAGCTTTTGCTTCGGAAAAGGTTCGGGTGGACGAATGGATAAACTCTGTGAAACGCCTCCGCTCCTCCTCATCTGCAAGTAGATCTTGAAAGCACTTGCCGGTGAGGCTGACATTGGTCAGGATCAGATGTTTCAAGCACTCGCTATCCTTGGTCACATTCATCCGGCTGTCGAGGAGCACCTCGCCGTCGCACACCCCTCTCAAGACGCGACGGAAGCTGGACACCAAGGATTCAGCATCCGCGGTGTCCAGGAGAGCGTCGATGCGGCCGCGTAGCACTAAGTCCAGAAAGATCGAAGATGCAATGCTTAAAGCACAAATAAAGAATTGGCCGAAGCACAAGGGAATCACTTGCATCACTGAGCCTTCAAAAAGGGACTCCAAATTTACTGCAAATGATTCTCCATACTGTTTTTTGTGGGACACATGAAGATTGCAGCTCCTAGCAGCCTGATCCTGCTTGAAAAACACTTCCAACCCTCAACTCACTGGAGTTGCGAAAGGCATTTCCCCAAATTCCCCACCACAATCTAGACAAAGTTTAAGAAAATCAAAGTTCAGAACGTGTCAAAGAATCCTGCCTTCGAGGACAAACACATAAATCAACATGTCCACCGTGGTGTAAAGTAGCTGGAAAGGAATGGAGACCGAAGGATCAAGGAAAATGAAGACGATCACAAAGCGAAGTGCCGTATCAAAGCTATGCATTGCGGCAAACTTCAACACACTCGTGGACATCCCTGTGATGATGCTGAGCAGTAGGCACGTGATATGACCCGTGTAGGTAAAAAACTTCAACCGCCCTGGAGAGATTTGTATGAATTCCTTGCCCACCATCACATTCCTTGGACCGTCAGCTTGCTCACGCCAATGCTTGATGAGATGCTCTATACATAAAGAGGTGATGCATGTTCTGAACATGTTTTTGCTACAAGCAGCCCTCAACTAGCCGAATCAAACTGCTGCCTCATCTTCGTACCTACAGGTGCAGGTATCTTAAAATGATCAATGACCAACGTATTGGAATACTTGCTTCAGAACCCACATATATTTGTGGCAATAGCATGCCATAGCCCCATGCAAACCACTGGGGCCTCCCAAGAGTCTTCAGAATGTTTCATTAGTGCAGCATAATCGTGCGTTATCCTGCGTATGTAAGGCCAAGACTCTGAACGTAGCACTGAAAGGAAATCAACGCCCAAATGATGGTGTCAAGTTGTCCCGGCTGTCTGACTGCGTCATAGGAGAAGCCCAGCGTCGTGACGAAACCCAGGTGAGTAAAGTAGCCTTTGTTTTGCACACGAAAAGCACCAAAAGTAACCGTTTCAAGGCACAAAAGGTTGGTCACAAAAGGTTCAAGGATCCCAACGAATCACCAACTCAGTGGAAGGTTCAAGCATCCCAACCTCCGACCCACAAGCCTTCGAACGATCCACCAAGCGGTCGAACGATCCAGATCGGTTCTACGAGTCACGTGCCAAGCGCTTCACATTGCGCTGCCGAAGTTTCACCATCTCATCGTCCACCCGCGCGGCCCGTGCTTCCTTCAAAACATCCTGAACATGCCTCGAGATCGGACGTTGACATCATGAAAAATACAAAGAAAGCACTTGGTGCATTACACGAGGCAACGGGAAATCGCCAGACTTAGATGGTAGGAGGTTGGTCTGAATAATTAATCTTGAAAGCTTGGTCTTGTAAAAGCAAAAGGGACCGTGGATTCATGTGCACAATGTGGCACAATCCCCTGTAGGCAATTCTTAGATGAGATCACACCAGGAAACCTCTTTCAAAGCCAGGATTGTAAACTTGGTAACTTGATCATCAACGAGGTGATGTGGAACATGGAGATGTGGTGATTGGTCTTGTGGTGAATCAAGCATATGTTAGGATTAGGTACGGTACATTCCTCTAAAAAATAGAGTACAAACGAGGCAGGCAGGCATAGGCAGGCAGGTCTTGTAGAATCATCTAGAGGCCACCATAGGCCACCCATGTCATATCGTGGAAGTGCGTGCCAAAATCACTTATGGGCTAACAGTGTGCGACCCTTTTTTCCCCCACACGTTCGCTTGCCCGGCCTGCCCGGCCGCCGTATCTCATGCCCCAAAACATGAGATATATACCACGCACCGGAAGGAAAGCAACGAAGCATTCATAAAGCCCTGAGGTGGTACAAAGATTCGAGGCTATAGGGCCTGTTGCCCCCCCCCAAAACAGAACCGAAGATCATTGGAACCATTCGAGGACCGATCAGACATCCAAGAGCTCCGAGCTCCGAAACCTGTAACCTGGCGGCCCAGTACTCGGTGATTCAGTCAGGGTGCTGATTCACCCAGCCGACCCATTCCTTCAGGTCCACCAGGTCCCTCTTGGTCAAATACACGTGCACGGGGCCCCACAGAAGTGCCAGTGTGCTTAGAAACAGCCAGGCATCCATGGCTGCCAGTCGAATGTGGCACTGCACACCACTCTGGCTAAGGATCAGGTCGACCACATTGATGAACTTGGAACACCTAGCCTAGTATCATATTCATGGGCTGTGATTCTGCGAATCTCCAACATACAATGACTGTCCACCGTCCCAAAAACCATCTCACCCGTTTGTTGGACCAACCCTAGCGGGTCGGGGAGCCAGAGCGGGTCTCGCGAAGCACGGTACACTCCCTGAAGATCCTGGTGACCTGGGGCCCTAAAAACCCGAAGTCTCCCGGGAGGACTGACCCTTTCCTCCACTAAACAGGTGGGTTTTTCACTCCATAGTAGCCTTTTTTGTTTCTTTCTTTCTCTCTCTCTCTCTCTATCCATATCGCCCTCCAAACATGAGACATCGCCGCTGGCAGGCGGCGAGCATCCTTTTGGGGGGATCGAATGTGAAAGTCGTCCGTGGAGCGAAAAGGAAAAGGACATGAAGTCCGGTAACTGCGGAACTCTTGATGAACAAAAACCCTCCAGTGGTCCTATGGTCCTGACCAAAGACTGAGCAATCAAACCTCCCATATGAATCCATAATCTAATCCATATGAAAAGGTTTTACATGGTTTCACCATTGATCAACAGTCTACAAAAACCATTTCTGGTCTTACATCACTACGTCGATGCGGACTTGACATCGGACTCTCTGCACTCCCAAATCCACACCACATCACACCAGTCGATGTTTGATGACGTCGGAATGCAAAACACGTTCCACGAGTTCGATCTCCGGTCTCGAAACGAATGAAGACACGTCGATGTCCGGTCTCGACGTCGCGTGGAAGTGAGTGAACAAGAGCCTCAAACTACTGTTTGCGAGGACGTCACGTGAAACAAGAATGACTGCCTCTGTCTTCGAGGGTAGTGTTTCGCCTCAATTTTTCTGTGTTTGTCCTGTTCTTTGGGTGGGTTATACTCGCTTTGTCAGGTCGTGAAACCACCCGGAAAAACCCTCGGCAGGGTCCTGCAGGTGGGAGGTTTGGAGAAAACGCCTCTCCCAGTCAAACCAATCAACCAACATGAATCCCATCCAGCCAAACTCATAAATCCATCCAATCAAATCATCAAATCAATCGCGTTTCATCCATGGTCCATGAACGAAAACAAAGAATCCAACCGTTTTCCATTCACTGCGATTTCTTTCAGCTCCATTTAGCCGCGCCGGTCCATTCTGCGCTTCTGCGCCCCGTCCGCGAGGCGGCCAAGGCGCCGCCGTTCACGAAGGCAAGGCCCGTCCAGGCACGGCATCTGGCGGAGGTGGCACAGTAGCAAGCTCGGTGGACTGAGAGATGAGTAAACGACCAGAAGCTGTCCATGTTTGGGACCTTATAAGGGGTTTAAGGCAGAGCTCGCAGGTATACCAGGGCCCAGTGAAGAATGGTTAGGTTGCAGGCCTCCGTTTCCAAAAATCATATTGTATACGCATATTGTTCCGACACTCTTTCGGTGATGGGACACCCTATGAATATTGAATATACCAAGGCTTTCGTACATGATTAAAACATGCTTAATAATAAGTTAATTGAACACTAGGAGAACATGAAACAATTGAAACAAAAGAATGACAAGGTTGCGGTGTGTGTGATTCTTCTGATGTGGCGTTTGAACGTTATTGAGCGTTTGTAGGTGAACAGCTTTCCAAGGTGTTTTAGGGATGTTTACAGGATGGTGTTTGAAGATTTTGAACACCAAGGCCTCGAGCGAGGACCACATGTATCCTGGAGCTTGGGTTGCCCTTTCCGACCCAGGAGTCCACCGGATGAAATTATTGTAGACTAAAATACCAATGGTCTTCCAGTTTCAAGAGGTGCAAGGGGCGACGGCGACATGCACCTTGTGAAACAATCCAATGGATTCTATAAACATAAACACACATGGAACGTGCAAAAGGGAAGCTTGGCACCTCTCCGAACATATTTTGTGTTTGCCTGCCCCGGCTGCTGCTTTCACTGCATCAGGCTGTCATCTACAAGTAAACATGAGACAAATCAAACATGTTTGGGTGATTTGGGTCACTTCAAGCAACTTCTAAAAAGATCTATGATTACAGTATACTACAGTATATATTATATACATATTCCTTATCTTCGATCTTTACATACTTACGGTACCTTTATAATCCTTTATGTGCCGTATCTTAAATATCCTCGAACCATTGTGCGCTTGGTTGCAACACGTCAGGAATAAGAATGGACGAAGTCCGGCTGAGGAATAGGCCTCTCCCTAACCCAATCGATCCACTCCAAATGGGTCGGCCTGCAGGGCCCAGGAAGTGCCATCTCCTATAGGTTGAGGTGTGGTGAAAAACCTCGGACAAGCAACGACGGGACGGCATGTTGACCGACCAAACCTGCAGGAGCCGGGTCTCCATTTCGGCAGGTGGCTGAAATGGAGACGACTGAAAAGTGGCAGGTGCTGCTGCTGGCAGTGAGGGTGCTGCTATAGTGACAGTCAATGGCACTGGCATGCAATCCATCTACTGTAGAATCATCTAGATTCATTAAAAAAACAACTTAACTTGGGCTGCAATCGACTCCAAATCACTGGGCCATCATTCCGGCATCAAGTGAGCACCGAGCGTCAGGCTTGGAAAACAAACAGGACATTGAGTCACTTTCTTGCCAAACATAGCATCACAACCCCGGATTCGGGGGCCAACTGCTCCAATGCCTTTTAAGGTTGCCAAGTTCAGTCTTCAGAGTTGACCAAAACAACACCCCGAAGGAGAAATCTCTCCTTACTTCACCCGACCCCGAACGTCCCTCCCGCCCTTCTTTACTTCGCGCCCAATGGATCCAAATGGCCAAATCGCACAGCCACAGCACAGCTGAATTGAAGCTGAGCAAATGTTCCCTGGCGGAGGACCAGGTTATACCACATTCGAGGGTGGCAAAGGCCAAGCATGGCCAAGCTCTATCATGCGAAGAACGTTGGAGGCTAGGCGGGACTCTGGTGGGTGGCTTTGCCTCCGAGCTCAAAAGAACGTCCAACAGTCTTGTCAGGATCCGAGACGTCTAAGTGTAACATGATACTCAAGGCAAGGACAAAATAGTTAAGCTCACCAAACAAAATCATGGAAGTGGAGTTCACCACCTGTTTACTATTCAGCAAATAGGGTTTTTTGGTTTGGTGAGAAATACATCCTAATCCACTTAGCCACTGGATCGCTCAGTGGACTCGGAATCCACGGATCCACCCAACTCACCGGTTCAGTGACGTGTTGGACCCGCGTGTGTATGGATTCCGATACAGGACATCCACAGAAGCGACGATGTGCTGCACTCCACCTTTGCTTTAAAACAGCCCATGGGCCTATACCCTTTGGATCCACTGCCACCCTCTCAGGAGGTGATGTGTTCGACACTGAAGTACGTGCAAGTTTGGAGGGGTACATCTTTTTCAGTCATCTACGGGCACAGGCAAGTTTTCCAACAATGTAGAAATAAACCCCTAAAGTAAAGGGAAACCTCTACTTGCAATGGATCTGTTGCTGTTTCCCAAGCTCAACCCAAAAAACAATGCAATGAGTGATAAATTCTATTTCTCCCACATCTTCACCTCGCGACACACGGTGTTCACCCCGCCGAGTCCATTTAAGAGAGGTGTTTTGTTGAAAAAGGACCTGTAACCTGGGTGACCTTCTGGGATCGTCTATACATCTTCCTCTCTTGGTCCCGATGAAGAGGCGGGTGTGCTCCGAGCCCTGTCGGCCAATTCCGAGCGTCGGTAGTACTCCGGGTTGGTCCGTCGTTCGGACCTCAGGTTGTGGTGGAGAGTGGTGGGGTAAAGGATCGCACAACAGGACCTTCACACTTCAAGAATCCCAAACACTCCATGGACTGCCATATATGCCGATCAATTGACCCCAAAAACCACCCCCAATGTAGGCATTTATGGCAGTCCCATGGAGTGTCTGGGAATACAAGTCTAACTTGTCTGGCCCAAAACCTGAAGAAAAGCCTAGTTCATCTATGTTCAACTTTCATTGAGCTGTTCAGTGAAATCGTTGACAACCTCCCAGCCTTGTGGTTCCGGAAATCTCTTGAACTTGTGGTTCTTGGCTGGTTAGAATCAGGCAACTGATCATGCCAAGTGGCAGCTCTGGAAAGATGGCCTGAAGCATCACCAACAGCACATTTCGGAAGGGGTTGATCGCGTAGATCAAGTAGCTCCTCGGTTCAGTTCTCGCGACTCGAAAACGCACCTGACATATTCTATAAGTATAATAACACGGACCACGACAAGATTTCAAATCAGTAGACACCTCGAACCGGAAGAGAAGGGATCATGGATACGGATGTGTGTTTTCCCGAATGGCACCATGTTTGGACGCTCCCGCAAATCAACTAACACAGACACCCTTTTAAGCACCACCCAAAACGGTGTTTTTTTCCCAGAACGTCCAAGTCAGCCGTTCAGGTTCGCATCGGTCCGCAGGGTCTGAACTTTGACCGGTGGATTCGAAGGGATTGGGGGTCATTCCATACCCAAACACGACCTGTCTGGGACTGGCATATTTACCGATCAGTTCCGGTGGTTGATTTCAGGAGTCAATGGGGCGGCATATATAGCAGTCCCATGGGTCGTGTCTTGGATTTTTTTCCATCGCCTTCTCAAGGAGTTTAGCAAGGCTAAAGGCGAGAAACAAAATGCTCCGCACAGCGGAAAGAAGCGTCAGCAGCAGTGGATCAGCTGCGTCATTTCTCCCACCCACTGTGCAGGGAGTTTTGAAAGTTCAGCAACAAGTAAAATTTTGTGAAAAGCTTCATGGTACAGGGGAAGTGATCGCAGAAGATCATCCACACAAGGCGAACCACCCTCGCGATCGAAGAGCAGCAGGCGAAGATGAAAAGTCGACGGTTTAATCCATGCAGTTTGTTCCAAAAGTGTCAGGATGTTGAGCACAGTAAAGCTGGAGAGAAGGAAACCGGATTGTCGCCATCCGTCCAGCTCAAGGATGGTAGCCTCTTCCGAAGCCAGCTCGAAGACAAAAAGCTGCTGTCCTTGGAAGGAGCCCTGGAGGCATCTCTTTTCCCACAAATACTTGTCTGCAGATTGGCCAAAAACATTGCAGGGACCACACTCGTGGTGGAGCAAACCATGATGAAGAAGCCAGTCATGCTCCTGATCCTTCCAAGCACCACGGTCAGTGGCAAGGTCCACAGATATGTTCTGGTGTCGCATGTAGCGCAACACACTGCGGTGACCACTGTTATTGGGGCCCGTGCGCCTCCTTCGTAGCCCTCCGATGGTGGTGGCTGTGCTTTTCAAATCCAGCAAAACAGAGCGGACCAAGGCAGCTTCCGGCATGCGCAGAACATGGCCGACCCAGCGCCACACCATACGCGCCAACAGGACATCCCAAGGTTCAGAGTACGTGCGCCCCCAAAGCTTGACAGCATGCCGAAGGACTTGGAGACATTCCACAGCAAACCAAGAGGAGTGTGCTCGAGCACCTAGCATCCATCCAAGGAGGGTGACAAACTGCACTCTCAGGGAAGTTAGGGTGCTCTGACGAACAGAGACCACGCACAAGGACCAGCGGATAGTGGAAGTAACCCAGGACGTGAACATGTAAAGTCGCTGTGCACGGGGAACAGCTCGATGAGTGAGCAAAGACCGGTTGGTGAAGAATGCAGAAGTGGCACGACGACAGAGCGAAGCGACCATGTGCTCATCCCCTTCAACGAGTTCAATGGTTTGGCCTAAGTAAGTGGCAGATGAAGTAACTGCGTAGCCATGCAAACAGGAAGGGAGAACAGGAGGCAGGCGGAGCCCAAACAAGCACGACTTAGTGACATTGATAGACAAGCCCATGTCGCCAAACAACGCAATCACCTCGGGAAGCAGTCTGGAGAGCTGCGTCATGTTGCGAAACACTAGGAAGGCATCATCAATGAACCAAAGGGCCCAAAGCAACAGCCTGCCAGCGTGGAAGGCAGGAACCTCGCCACGCCGATGCCACAAGCAAGCAAGATCATGAAACCGTCCAGCAACGACCCGCCCAAAAAGGGTCGGGCTGTGGCTGCCGCCTTGTTGGGTGCCCCGCTGCTGCCAGCAAGACCAAACAAAATCCAGGAGGTGAAAACACAACTGGGAGTGAGTAAGAAACCAATGCAAAAAAGAAGCGCTTTTGGCAGAGACAGGCGACCAGTGGTCTACCAAGAATTGCAAAAGAGAGTGGATGTACAAGGAGTCGAAAGCCCGCGACAAGTCCAGTTGAAGAAAGACAGTGGAATCATCGAAGCCAGCACTTTCTTGGGCTATATGCTTCACAATGTACAAAGCCTCCGGTAAGCCGCAAGTCTTGACCGATCCAAAACAGCAATCCGGAACAGGCCACGAAGCGGTTACCCGAAGGGTGGCCAGGCGAGCGGCAAGTTTGGCGAAGACCTCCCCACAAACGATAGGACGGAACCCAGAAGCATGATCAATCCAAACGGTTTTTGGCAGAAGAACGACCCACCCAGTGCCAAGGGCGCAGTGGGCAGAGGCCGGATCACGCAGGAGCGAGTTGAGCATGGAGGTGAGAATGTCCAAGCCCAAGGCGGCAGAAGCAAGGTGGCGCAACAGCTCAACGCTGACACGAGAGATGCCCGTAGTTTTCCCCAGCTTGAGTTTGCCGACGGCTGCCTTGACCTCCGAAGCACTGAAATCCGGCTCAGTATCAGGGAGTCCCTGAAAAGTAACAAGAGGAGCTCCAGGATCTTGAAGCCGATGGTCAAAGTGCTGTTTCACATGCTCAACTGCAGCAGCTTTGGACCCGCACGCTTCAAGCAGCGGACGGAGGACGCACACTTGCGAGCCAACAAACGACGAGCAGTCCAGTCACCACAAGCCGCACGGAAATATCTCCCCTGCATTAGGTAGGGGGCGGGGTGAGGGCCCCCCTTGATTAATTTATTTTTTTAATTAGGGAGGGCCTTCTAAATAATCCAACCACTGCCAAGTGGAAGATTAAAATAGAAAAGAAAATTAATCAGGAATGACTGTGAGGCAGGCCGAGTTCTCAGTTGATTAATCTAGGTACCTTGAGTTCCTTGACAAAAAATAGTGAGGTGACCTGTGAGTTCAAATTAAAAAAACACTGAGATGTCAACCACCATACGATTAATTTCTGAATTCTGAAAATGCAGAGTGCACACAAGCAGCTTCTTCTTTCCCTCTGGTCCGCAAATCTTGCCCAGTATTGACATGAACTGACTGACCTTTCTGATCAGCCTTCTAAACATTTCTAAACAACTAGCGAATTACAGGAGCTACCAAACCCCATGGGCTCCCTCACAGCTTTACAGCTACTTTTACAGCTCTGTCACTTCTCCGTCTTCTCCGTCTTGGCCGGGTTTGCCGGCAGCCAAGTGGCCGGAGGAGCCTCCATGTGCACCTTGTAAAGCCACATGATGAATTTCCGAGGTGTACTCTCTCCTGGACGCGGAGCTGCATTCTGCAGCTCACGCAGAACCAGGGCACCGAAAGAAAGGGTCCTGTCAGATGTACTCAATTTCTTCCAGTTTGGCGAACCCCGTGTATACATCTTGCTGAAGTAGCTGGGAACGCGTGACAACAGCTCTTGCCATTCAACCACTTCCTTCAGTGCACCTTGGCAAAGCTTCACCTGGCCATGCTTGAGAATCCGCCAGTGGTGCTGTTCGAAGTCGTGCAACATAGACTCCACAAAGCGCATTTGAGTAGCACGTCCGCTTTGGGTTGCGGTGAGGTCAAACTCTGTCACTAGCAATCCTTTACCAGGCTGAGGCTTAGCCTTCTCCTGAAAGGGGATCTTGGCTTTGCTTGCATCCAACCAGGTGGATACAACATGGTCATCGATCTTGAAGGTCACCTCAAAAAACCATGAGCAGAAAAGAGACACATTCAAATTAAAAAACAAACACACAACAAACTCTCCCAACGAAGAGGCAAACCAAAAGCGCCGCAAACATGAAAATCCTTGAATGCCCTAGCAAGATACCTTCGTGGAGTCATAGGTCACTTGAAAGTCGTCCGCCGGCACCTCGTACAGCAACGAGCCGTCATGTGGATCCAGGCTGACCACCGGAGACAAAGCCCTCACCAGAGATCCAATTCAGTCAGGTTGAAATATATGGATTGTCTGTCCAATTTCTGAAAAATTATATATATATATATATATTGAATATATTTAAATATATTTCTATGACATAGGAGAAACATAGAGAAACTATGAGAAATTGGGTCTAAAAAGGCAAACATAGATCACCCATGATCTTCCAAGGCGCGTTCCCTCCAGCACAGTAATCCCACTCTGCTTGGACTCGCCAGGTGCAAGTAGGAGAACATGGAGATGAGCCAAGTACTCCATCGGCATCTTCCCTGCAGGCAGCAGCTTGCGACCAGTCTTCACTGTGCGGCGTGCCACCCTCCAAACTGTCAACGGGATTCCGAAGCGTAATGGGCTCCAGGTAGTGTTTGCCTGGCATGGCTTCACAACCACTAACTGGTACTGCGTGACACCGTTCACAAGACTTGGCGGGCCAATAGAATTGAGCTTGCTGGCTGCAGCATCCTTGCCCAGGGCTTTGAGGATACGCTCACTGTAATTTGCCCAGAGAGAATGGCGGCTCTGGCGGCCAGCACTGCACTGATGGGCCGCTCTGGCAACTGCCAGACTGTGCTCCAAGCGATTGTGTTGCTTCACTGGCAATTTGCCATATATGCTGGCAGGGCTCAGGATGCCTTCTTTGGAACGCATGTGCCTTCCAAATTTCCCCATTGCCTCAAACAGAGATTGCACACGGTGGCTCACAACGGCATCTGTATCGTCCACCATCGCTGCAAAAGAAGTGCACCCTGCCATTGACAGCACTTGACTGAGTGTGCGAGGCTCAGCCGGGTCAGCCGGGTCACACTGAGGGGTGGACTTCACCCGTTTCTCAGTGGGAACAGCTGTGTGCTCTTCATCAGTGTCAATCTTCTCGTGTTCTGCGTCAATCTCCATTTCTGCATCCGCTTTTCCTGCACTGGCCTGTTCATCAAGGTTCTCAAACTGCTGTTCCAGCACAACTTGGTTTTCCACAGACTCGATGGAGCTCACGATATGTTCATTGTTCTTGGTGACAGTGGTCTTGGTCATGGATTCCTCTGGCTCCTCCTCATCACTGCCCTCTTCGTCCTCCAATCCACCCCATTCATCGTC